GACTTACCAGCTGGAAGCAGCTGTGTCAGTTGCCTGTTTAGTCTCTGGCCGAATCTCTGAAGTGGCCAAATCTTTTCTGAAGCTTTTCCAAATCAATTTGGATGCTTCAAATTGATTCAGAGCTTTTAATTGGTCTTCCAATTCAATTTGGATTCAGAGATTTGGTCCTTGAATCGGGTCTAATCTCCTCTGAATCGAATTGGCTACCAAAGCTTTGCACAGCCGTACTTGTCACTACTAATAGGTGTCAACTATAAAAGAATGTCAGGCCTTTGTATCCTGTTAGCATTGCACCTGGGTTCCATTGTTTACCTCTTTTTAATTGTTGTTTAAAATTAAAGATTTCATTTATTACCAAATTAACACAATTTTATGTTAACTGTGATATAAATGACAATTTTTTTAAGCAAAATTGGACTCAAACCACCATCCTGTCGTTTTTCATTTAACTATTGAAGAGAAGAATTGTGAAAAAATACTGTTATGGAACTATTTGACTGTTGTACAAGGAAAGTAAAAATATTTAAAAGATTTAAGGAGATTTTAAAGACTTATTGTAATCTTTTTTTTTTTTAACAGTATGTCATTGTAAGCAGTAAGAAGATTCTATTCTATGATAGTGAACAAGATAAAGAACAATCGAACCCTTATATGGTGTTAGATATAGAGTAAGTATTTTACCGTGAGATTGTTCATTGTATTGTTTTTGTAAACTTTCAAATGAACATTAGTGGAGAATCTTGCACAGAAAACAGCATAGAAAATATTTTTCATGATAGCTATATTTTTGTATTTAAACTACAGTCATTCAATATGTGTTGACTTCTCCCATAGACAAACACACCTGCTCCCATATACAGCTACTTCTACAGCTAAAAGCATGAGGTGCTACAGTTTGAGCAAAAGAACTGGCGGGTTGTAGAGAACAGCTGCAACTCAGATAATGGCTAGGAAGGCAGGGTAAAGATGCACCTTATAGACTGACTGAATCAGAGGTGTAAGTTTTCATGAGTTAGAGCTCACATCCTCAGATGCTAAGAAAGGACATGTGCAGACCAGGTTAGTAAATAAAGTGATTTGAATTCAAAAGACAGGAGAGGGGGATAAGTGCTGAGAGAGGCAAACAAGTAATAAAAACCATAGGGACAAAGGGTCACAAAAACGGATTCTGGTAATAGGATAAGAATCTGTAGTTCCTGTTTAGATCATACTTAACAATCCAGTCTGTGGATGACTTCTTATTCTGCAGTTTTGCACTGTCAGCCTTTAAACTTTCACTGTATTAGAACAGCTACTCTGAAGTCCAGGAATATTAAAGTGTTCTGCCACAGCCTTTTGTGTACTTCTGGACTTGATGTCAGATTTGTATCCCCTCATTCTTTCATGTAGGGCTTGCCCCATCTGTCCAACATGGACAGTAGAAGGGTACTGTAAGCAGGTTATGCCATATATGACATTGGTAGAGGTGTAGATGAATGAATCTCAGCTGTTCTAATCTATTTTAATTGGTCCATTGATGACATAGTGTGCATTAATGAGGAGGCACAGCTTGTGAGGTCTGTTGCAAAGCCTGGTATCTCTGAGAATAGGAGTTAGGTGCCTGAAAGAGACTGTTTGAGGTCAGAGGTCTTTACAGATGTGTCCCAAGTGTTCAAGCTGAGAGCTGCAGGTGAAAGCTAGAGGAATTCTGTTGTCTTTATCTTGGGGTTGGTATTGTAGCAGGTCAGACTGGGGACTGAGTCTGGCTTTGTTGATTTGAGTGACTGTAGTTTTGGGCTTGTATTGTGATTTTTAGGAAATCCTGCTCCAGATCCTTACACTTGTCAGTGCAGAGCAGCTACAGTTTAATGTAGTTTGACTGTAGATGATAGATAAACTGGTGTGCTTAGAATGAAAGCTAATAGTGTGAAGGTGGCTGTGGCAGTTGATGGATTTCCAATACAACGTGGTGATGATATGGCCATTGCAAACCTTCACTGTGGTGTCTAGGTAATTAATGTGTTTGCAGAATATTCCAGAGTCAGTTTGACGGAGGATCCTTTGTGTGAGGATGAAGCAGGAGAGTGTGAATGAAACAGAAGCAGAGTGTTATCATTGGGAATAATGTTCTTTATGGTTTATAATCTGTCTTCATGACAGATACTGTTGTTGTACAGAGACGTGACATCCATGGTCAGTAGTATAGTGTTCTCTGGAATCTTGTCAGTGGACCCCAAATCTGGGATTTTTCAAATGGCTGGCAGTTCCAGCGGCATATGGAAATAGGATAAAGTGATTGTTGCCAGAAACCCCCTCCATGATGGTGCTTGTAATAGTGGGGCTTCCTCAGTTGTCAGGTTTGTGGAGCTTTGGTAATAAGTAAAAGTTGCCTGCTCTGTGTTCCTGGGAGGTGGAAGCAGTAATCCTTTTCAGTGTTTTCAGAGGCAGCAGCATCATTAAAGAGGTGGTTTCTTTCCTCCTGGTATTGTGCTGGGAGGACCTCAGTTAAGAGTTTATTAAAATTTGTGTTGGAAAGTTGTCTCTTGAGGTCCTGTATGTATGCTGTTTTCTGTATGGCAGTAGTGGCTCCTTAGCAGCTCTCCTTGTCAGCCCATTGTATGAAAATACCAGGGTTGTTTTTAAGGCTGTGTATGGTTGTTCATACTGCAGGACTGAGGTTGTAACATTAGTGTTGTTTCTCTGGCAATGTTAGGGTGGGTACAGAGGCAGAAACACCTTATATACAGGTTTAGAATAGGGCTGTGACCCTTAGGTGCAGAGTCTAGGAGTTGTCCTTTTTTGCCTGCATAGGTGGGTTAATCGCTATGTGGCTTCTTGCCATGAAGACATTTCCTTTGTCTTAGGCAGCAGAAAAAAGCTTTGAGGTCTCCAAACAGCTGTCATGGGGCAGAAAGTAAGACTATGGGGTAGTACCTCAGCTGGGCTGAGAGTGTGGTTGGATAGGTTGATGACTTTACAGTTGATTTGTAGGGCTGTTGTTGGAGCATGTAAGTTTGCAGAGTTCTGCTTCCTTCATTGCCTTTGAGGAGCAAAGGTGTTTGTGATAGCTTTGTGCCCGGATGCAGAAATCTCTTCTTGGTAAATGGCTGTTATGTCTGAGTATACTGTATACTGTTTGTTAGTTCTGCAAGTTTTCTTGTTGAGCTGCTCCTGTTTGCTGTAATGCTGATAATGAGGTGGTTCCTCAGTTTCTCGGAGGGAGTGAAGCACAAACTGTCAGGAAAGGCGGTGTGGCAGGTAGAACACAGTGGATTAGTCACTTGGAGTTCCTTGGGTATGATCTACATCTGCTTGCATCTGGTCAGAAAGAAGATACCTGAGAGTTCCTGAGCAAGTTTCTTGTATAGATGGATTGCAGTCCATTTTATTTGACTGAACATGATGCTATCCCTGAGCAGAGAGAATTAGCTATATCCAAAGTCAGGCAGAAGGCAGGGTAGAGATGCACCTTATAGACCAACTAAATACAAGATGCCTAAGCTTCAGAACTGACTTAATCCGATGCCATGAAAGTACCTGCACAGAGCAGGTTATCAAATAAAGAGGGTGGTTTGAATACAAAGACACGGATGGGGAGGGATGGGGAGATTGTCATATAATTGAATTGGTACAGAGGGAGGACCTGTAGCACACCGGTGGGATTCAAGTGCAATGTAGGTCCTTGCTTAACAAATAATTAATTTAACTGATCAGAAGTCTAGCTTTTATGTACATGAAGATTTTTGAGATAAAGCAATTGCAGTTGTTAAAACTCATGCTTTTATAAACAATTTGGCTGCTTTGCATCTTTGGTTGAATGTATTGCAAATTAGTATACAGGGCAAGGAGGATAGGAATTCAATAAAGTTGACTAAGGATTTTGAGTATTGTTGCTAAATTTACAGATCGAATCCTGTTGTCTAAGGTTCAGTATAAATTGCCAGTTGATGTGTATGCTAAATCAGTACATTTTGTTAACAAGATAACACTCTTGGATGTCATTTTTTGTCTTTACTAAAATAATTTCCTTCTTCAGCAAATTGTTCCATGTTCGGCCAGTCACACAGACCGACGTATACAGAGCAGATTCTAAGGAGATTCCTAGGATATTCCAGGTATGGACTTATATATCAGTGTTTGCAAAGTAACAGAAGGATAAGATTTAATCAAATAGCTCAAGATGCTTCAAAAACGCTTTAACATCTTTTTATTAAATAAGACTCTACTACCAAATAAGAAAAAGTAGATTGCAGAAATAGACATCAAAGTATTCATTCTGGTGTACTTGTATTTTTATTCCTCAACCTTGCTGATTAAATAGTTGATCTGAATGAGTCTGCCTTGTGTAAAAATGTTGTGGTTCTTTTGCTTTGACTCTAGATTTTGTATGCTAATGAAGGGGAAAGCAAAAAGGAACAAGAATTTCTTGTGGAGCCCATGGGGGAGAAATCAAATTACATTTGCCACAAAGGACATGAGTTCATACCTACTCTGTATCATTTTCCAACCAACTGTGAGGCTTGTATGAAGCCACTGTGGCACATGTTTAAACCTCCTCCTGCCCTAGAGTGCCGTCGTTGCCATATCAAATGTCACAAAGATCACATGGATAAAAAGGAAGATATTATAGCACCTTGCAAAGGTAAATAGTGAATAATAAAATAAATGGTTACCTGTTAACTAAGTGAAGCAAAAAAATCTAAAATTTGTAACAATATTCAAGGTAAAGTTAGTAACAGCCTAAAGTAGTAGATGGTTTGGGTGCATTTTTCACAGCTCTTTGCCATTATGCATAAACCAAACTTTGTTGCTAAGAGTGCCCCTGGGAAGGATCAGTTCATTACAGTGCTGTGGCATACATCCAGCGTTAGAAACATATATACCACATATTTTTAGTGCTGTGAGCATAATGGGGAAGGACTTGTGGTTACCCAAAGGGTTGCTGTGCAGTGGGTTGGGCTGCATAGCAGTGTGGGATAGATGTGTGAATGCCTATGGGAAGAAATTTGCTGTGTATGGGATGTCTTTCAGAATCCTGTGTACTCAAGTATCACAGACTCAGGGGCAAGTGAAAAGACTGTAACAGCACATGTTTGTTCCACACTGACTTTTTCCTTAGTAGTGTGAGAAACATGCACCATCTTAGAAAGACTTCCAAGCTGGGAAGATAGTAAGCACTGTGTTTAGCTGACTGTTTAGTCGGGAAGAGGTATGGTCTGTAGGCATATGGAAACACTCCTTGGTTGTTGCAAGCATGTTGAAGATGCATTGTCATAAGTTGTCATGCCACGAGGCATGCTGAAAGTACACTGTCATAAACTCTTCTCAGGGCATCACTGTGATCAAGGTGGTTCAGCTGACTACTATATCCCAGTTTCTTGTTCTACCACTTTATCAGTTATTTGCTGCTTGTGGGAATGCAAGGATCTGGCCATTAGTTTTTAACATTAGTCCCCATAAAAATGTTTAATATGGAGATTTTGTTTTAAAATTCTCGTTACAGTATATTATGATATTTCAACGGCAAAGAATCTACTACTGTTAGCCAATTCTACAGAGGAACAGCAGAAATGGGTCAGCCGATTGGTGAAAAAGATTCCAAAAAAGCCTCCAGCCCCAGACTCTTTTGCTCGATCTTCTCCTAGAACTTCCATGAAGGTACAGCCAAACCAGTCTGTTAGACGGCCAAGCCGACAGCTTCCTCCAAACAAACCAAGGTGATGCAACAAGTGCTATTATATATGATGATTTTAAACATAGGCAATTTGATATTTTGAATTATATAATTCAGAATATGGTCAGTTCATAGACATGTTTTGCTCCATTTTTATCTCTACTATCATTAAAATGTGACCTTCCACCATCACATTAAGTAAGCTATGTGAAGAAATGGATTTCATTTCCCATATTTAATCTGTTTGCTAAACCTAGTAGGCAGGTAGCACCATCTGCATTTAAGAGTGCTTAATGCTTCCTGTTGTAACACCGGGAAATGATTGCTGGTGGTATGGGGGAAGACTGGAATTGGTTGGAGAATGGGGGTGGGGAGGGAGAGACCTGAGAATCTCACAAGCATCCTGTGAATTGAGGGTGACTAAAACTAGATGAGCTAAGAAACTTGAATGAGGAATCTGTGACAGGGAATTCTTACCCTGTTACAGGGAAATGAAATGGGCCCTTTTAAGGGAAGAGTTTTTGTGAACCAAACAAAGGCACCCAACAAGGCTGGGGTTAATAAACAGCTCTGTGGTCAGGGCAGATAATAGGTCACCTTACCAGAAGGGGGCAGAGCTTGCAGGGCATATCAACTCAGAGTCTGAGCCAAGAGGGCAGTCTGCCCTGGGAGGCTGAAGGGTGAAGAGCTCTCCAGCCAAAGGGCTGTGCTGCCATGGGGATCTACAGACAAGGAGGAGAAGGCTCACTGGGAGCCAGGACACAGGATAAATAGAGTTCAGTATAGCTGGTGAACGCAGAGTCTTGTTACAGCCAGAAAGATTAATTGTTGGTTCGTGATTTAAACCAGTCGACTGGGTGGGATGAAAAAGGCAAGATGTGCAGGTCCCAAGGGGCGCATGGTTGCTTTTGAGCCCTGCCAGGAGTTGGGCTCAAAGTGCTGCCAGGACCAGAAGTCCTGGGGTACCAGGGAGGCACAAGGCTTGAGCCTACCAGGACAGGGTGCAAGCTGTAGTATTGCTGGAGGGCAAGACAAGTGCCAGGGGGCCAGCAGCTCAAGACAGGTGGAGACAAAGGTGAGGGACCCAGTGCCCAAGGGGCAAGATCAGGTCTGGGGCACAGAAGCCAGGTTCAACGTAGTGGACTAGACTGGGTGGCATCCGGATAAATAAAAGGGGCCAAACCTGGAAAGCAGACACCCCAACAAGGGTGTGTTGGCCTTGAAGTGGCCTAATGAGGTTATAATGGGTAACATTTGTGAGGTATGGGCATAGCTAAAGGGATGGAAGGAGGCCACAAATTTAGCCTTTGAGGTAACAGAGACCATAAGGTCTGGATGGGCCCAAAAGGCTCATTTAGCTCTCGGAAGGTGAGACTGGGAACTGCGGTATCCAAGAGGGATGGACTGTCTGAAGGAAGGGCCAGGGCATAGCCTGGGGCATGGGGGCAGCTCCTTTTTCATACGTTAGTTGATGACATTGAGGCATGGCAGGAGAGAGAAAAGGGAGGGTATCCAAAAAAGTCCAAGTAGGTCAGGAGCCACATGGACACCAAGGGGTGACACAGCAACCCCTGCAGGCAGGATCCTATTACAAGTCTAAGAAGGGACACATGAGACTAGGAGCCAGAGTATGCTGGAGATCAACAGAGTGCTACCTTACCTTCCAGAGTCTGGGATAGAAGAAGTCTGTGCTGAAGAGCTAAGTGTTCCCGGCCTGCTGCCAATAATGTTACTAAGATTCCGCAAAAGAGAATTTCCATATTTGCAGCCTGCCTTAAAAAAAAAAAAAAGAGAGAGAGAAATTCTGCACAAATTCAGTTGAAAAGAATATTATGATTGTAAAAGTAGCACTTCTTCAAATTAGATATGAGTATGAAATAGTTGGTCTTACAGGCAACAGCCCTTACAAACTACACAACCGTGATTCCCAGAGCATTGTCGGGCCTCCGAGAGTAGTTCAGTGGGAAAAAATAACACTGAATATGAATGCATCCACAAAGAAAGGGACCGAATGTTGCATAGGCAACCTTACTGATTGCATTTTGTGACTTTCAGTAATAGACTTTCCAACTGCAATCATGTTTTTAATATAACTTTTTGTATATAATATGTGTGTGTGTTTTTGTGTGGTTTAGAGTCCTTTTGAATATATAAAGTACCACGTTAGTGCTATCTATCCCTGCTAAAGAACAACTGTAAATAATAGACTGTCCTACCTTATCTTCTGTCTGTCTTCATGCAAGTAAAATTTGCGTCAGGTCATTTCCTCACCTCAGACCCCCTCAGGGTCTGTCCTACTTAACTTTACATAGGAGATGGAAGATAATTTTTAGCTTAATTAAGGAATGTTTACATTGAACTACATCTTAATGCAATAGAAACATTAGCTAACTTCAGCTAGCTTACTTGGGTATTTGTAACAAGTTAACTGTAACACCAAGGACTTTAGGGCAACCTTCAAAATCCACCCCAAAACAGGGTAAATACTCCATGTTTGCCTGCTAGTAGATGCTGCACTGAGGCAAGCCTTGCTCAGATGTATGCATGTCTAATCTATCTATAAAACAAGAAAGGTAGTTTGGCCATGTTCATCTGAAGTTGGGCAGAAGGCAGGGTAGAGATGCACCTTATATAACCTATCATGAGCAAGAACTGACAGCATCTGATAAAATAGCTCTTGCACATGAAGGCTTATGCATCTCTGATTTAGTTTGTCTATACAAGGTGCATCTCTACCCTGCCTTTCGCCTAACTGTAAGATCACCTGTTGTGCAGGGATACACAGGTGCAAGAATCAGTCTTAAGATATGTGACAATATATATTTACACTGTAGCCAATTTTAGATAGATATATATTTTGGTGTGAAATGAGACAAAATAGTAGCAATTATTTCTTTTTCAGTACTGAAATGATAGGTTTTAATGAGTATTGCAAATCCACTTGGAAGGATATCTCCATATTACAGACTAGTTTTAAGTTATGTACCAAAGAGATAAGTTAATTTGTAACACATTTTAAAGGCTATTTTTCACTATCAGTTGAATTGTAACAAGATGTTTTTGAGGTGCTAATGAATGTTTTTTTTCTCTCCCCACCCCCCCACCAAAAAAACCCCATTTTCACAAGCTGTCCTCTCTTTGATTGATTCCAGTTGCATAGATACTGTTCCAACTAGCTGTATACTCATTCACTTCGGGTTTTATTACTGATGCAAATTATATTCTGAGAAAAAGCTTGCAGGCCTTATCTTGGATATAATACCAAATGCCTCTGTTGATAACGCATTTAGGTCAAATAGAACATTGAAGGTTGAAAGTAGAACACTAAGGACTCAAGTCAGAAAACATAAGTTTTTAGCTGAATGTGTACTGTTAATCTTCCCCCAATATGCTGATCCTTAACTGCCATCACATTACCGTATTTACTTGGATGCAAGACAAGATTTTTTCCCCTCCAATTGGCATGGTAAAAAAAACTCCTAGTCTTATAATCACATGCAAGGAAATTTTACTAAATACGTGGTCTGTTGTTAAGCTGCTGCCAAAAGCAGCATTTGCTCAGCAATGGAAACCAACTGTGAAGTTGATTAAGTGCAGCCAACACTGAGCATGATTATAAAACACATGACCAACATTGGGTGAACATGCTGATGGAAACCTACCACAAGAATAGGTTAGTGTAGTTCTGAATAAGGCATATGGTAGTGCCCATTATGCGTAGTCCACCTCACCACCAACTCTTTTTCAAGTCATGGTGAGCCACGACATTGCTTACAGTTCACCTAGAATCCCTTTGTTGGCCCTTCTCTCAGTCTGGTTTATATGATTGTGGCCCTGCCCTCCATGAAGTAAAGGCAGATGAGGTTGCCCTGTGCCTTATCTGCATATACATTTTGAAGGATCCCTGGTCTCATGACAAGTACACTTGGTTCCACTTATGAGTGGGGAGCTAATTAGCACATGGATGCTTTGTGAGGGGTATATGGAATACACACACATACATACTGAGCAGTGCTGAGCTGTACGGTTGCCATGGCTTGAAATGCTGTTGAGACTGCTGGAGCCCAGCCCAATGAACTATGTGGTAAAAAATTGGGGAGAAGCAGAGAGCAAAGGGCTACCTGTCCCCCCAGATTCATTTTCCCTGATGTAGCAGTGGGAAGGGGACAAATTCAAGGCAAACCTCCAAAAATTAGATTCTGTATCTGGAAAGCAATAAACAAATTTATACATTTTCCATATATAGAACCTAATTATTGGGGGGGGTCATTTTATAATCAGGGTCACCCTTTATTCAACTAAATATGGTATTTCTCAAATACAGTGCTGCTTGAGAGCCCTCAACCAACCTACCATTTTTTAGCACTGTATATAGTTCTTTGTAGCAGAGAGCTAACAATAAACATGTTTGTACATCGGTGTTTCAGAAAGTAACAACAATTTGAAAATAGACTATTTTGTGTGCAGTCGTCATTTATTGGACCACATTACTTCTCTACACAGTTGTAAATGATAGGTGCATTCAATAATCATAAAAAATTAGGGTTGGAAGGGACCTCAGTCTAACCCCCTGCTCAGAGCAGGACCATCCCCAACTATATCATCCTAGCCAAGACTTTGTCTAGCTGGGTCTTAAAACCTCCGAGGAACTGAGATTCCGCAGCCTCTCTAGGTAACCTGTTCCAGTGCTTCACCACCCTCCTAATGAGAGAGTTTTTCCTAATATCTAACCTAAACTTCCCTTACTGCAACTTGAGACCATTGCTCCTTGTTCTGTCATCTGGCACCACTGAGAATGGTCCAGCTCTATCCTCTTTCAACCCTCCCTTCAGGTAGCTGAAGGCTGCTATTAAATCCCACCTCAGTCTTCTCTTCTCCAGACTAAATAAGCCCAGTTCCCTCAGCCTCTCCTCAGAAGTCATGTGCCACAGTCCCCTCAGCATTTCTGTTGCCATCTGCTGGACTCTTCAGTTTGTCCACATCCTTTCTGTAGTTGGTGGCCCAAACTGGACATGGTACTCCAGATGTGGCCTCACCAGTGCT